GCCACCACTATTTTTGAGTTTGAAATGACCTCCTCTATAACCCCGGTTAGTTCATATGCCTAAAGGACCACCAAATGGTGATCGAACAATCGAGTAGTGATTGTTTATCTTCTGAAGCATTTTGGTAATTATACAATGTAGGGGTATTTTGGTATTTTTATGTAGGAGCATTTTGATCATTTCACAATTGAGTAGTAGCATCCCAATCACCGTATAATAGCTTCCTCAATATCCATAAATAATTTTTCCTCCTTCTCGACCGATGAAACAATCGGCTCTTATCGAGTTTGAAGGAAGCAACCGATTTGAAGAAGAAAATCTCAACGAGCCTCACGACCACTTGGGTAACAACCAAATTTATGTGTATTATTTTCAATGATATATGAATATGAAATGCTATGCTCGTGAATGATTGTGATTATTTTCTCGTTGCTTGTTTACTTAAACAAAATTATCGGTGACTTCCTACTTATGTGATTGAAGCTCGCCAGCAGCTTCTAATCAATTATTACTTGTTTCCTATTTATCGAGATGAAGCTCTTAGTGGCTTCTCATTTTTATGGATGGAGTTGCTAGTGGTTTTCAAACTAATTTTACTTGATTTTTAAATGATGGAAATGAAGTCATCGGTGACTTTTCGCTTATGTGACGAAGCCGCTAACGATTTCAAAATTATATTTATTTATTGTCCGTTTGTTTAAAACGAAGTTGTTGAAGGCTTCTTACTTATGTGACAAAGCCGTCTGGTGGCTTCCAAACTAATTATCTACTCTTTGCTTGAGTGAAATCAAATTATCGATGAGTTAAAGTTGTCAATAACTTCTTAAATCCATTACTCGAAGACATTGGTGGCTTTCCACTTGTGTGAGATTGTTAATGACTCGTCGCTTATGTAAATAAAAAGCTATTGATCTTTTGAAACTCACTTATTTATTGGTACGAGTCGTGTTCTCTAAAGATTAACTAAAATTCCAGCTTTTCCCTACCTTTAACCTCTCGAGTATGGGTATTAGCCTTAAATTAGCCTAAATCCCGAATTACTCTTTTCCATCCCACTAAAATAAATTTATTCAAATAGACAAGGAAACATAACATAGGAAAATCCAATTTTTATTTTCACATGCAAACAATGTAGCCTACTTTAGGTAGGATGAGATGATTCTATACGTAATTGATCCCTTATCCATATACCTTTTTAGATTAGTATGTTTAGGGTTTTCTAATTTTTTCCGATTAGCTAGATGGCGACTCTAGTTTCCACACATTCCCGCACGGGCCCCATCGACAAATCTCTTCATCAAACTTTCTCTTCTAAAAATAACAATAAGCTTATATAAGTTTTAAGCACAAAAAACTTTATTTTAAAAAAATTATGTTAAAAAATAATATAAATTATTTATTTATGAATTAAAAAATAATTTAAAAAAAAACTATGTTAAAAAATAATATAAAAATATTTTTGGATTAAAATAATTATTTTACACTAAAATCAATTGGAATACAAGTTTTACATGCCTTTTAGTAGAATGAACAAAATCTTCAATTTCAAGGAAGAGTTTGTTTTTTTGCTAGGGTTATTGACTTTTGTCATGATGCCTATAGGGATAGATGATAGCAGAACTTGGTAGGAGTTTTGTTAATTTCTTTGTCACTTGCACCAAAAATCGCCACCGCGGCTACCAATAGTAACAATAATAGTAGAAAGCAGAAAACAAAATGTTCTTAGGGTTTACAGTGTTACATTTGCAAGGTGCTCTCTTATTTCTAAGTTTGTCAATTCTGATTTGATGCTGTGACATGCATAATTGATTCATAAATTTTTTACTAGTAAATTATAAATTAATCATTTTAGTTTATGAAAACAAATTAATTACTCATTATTTCAAAAATAAATCATTTGATTATTTATATTTTATTTGCTTCAATAACTCAATCTTTTGGTTAGTTTTTCGTTACATAATAATGAAGTGTCCTTATTTTAGTAATTTTTGTTCCTAAATTGTATTTCTATTTATGTATTTTTTTTCATACACATTTCTTTCGTTTCTCTTTTATTAAGTACCAAAACAAAATTTCACTTTTTATTTTATTAATCTTCACTCTTTTTTTTTCCTTAGACACCAAAAACATATCTATACAGATAGGTATATATGTTTAAAAAATACTTAAAATATTAATTATTAATTTAGTAGATTTGACCAAAATTTAACAATGAAAAATTAAATTATTAGTTTTTAAAATGATAAAGACTAACTAAATCATTTTTTTTTAAAAAAAAAAAAAGAGGGACTAAGTATAATCTACTCTTGTTTTTACTTGTTTTATGTAGGCTCCTTCGACGAGGGATAGACTTATAGACACTAATTCCCATCACTCTCATGGTTGGCATTGGATCGATTTTTTTTCTCAAATTACTAAATAAAATAAAAAAATCTAAAAATACTATACACATACTATTCATTGATTATTTTCACACTCAACTTTCACTATTTATTTGTCGTACAATCTTTTTAAAATTACTATTAATTCATTGTGTTTGCCATCTGTTTGTCCAAAAAATTAAACTTTGGACTCTTTTTTTTAACATTATTTTTTCGATTCGTAACTACATTTTTCATTCATTTTGATCCCCGCATGCTAAGAGAAAGAGAAACAAGGGAGAGAGAAGAGAGAGAGGAACGACGAGGCCTATTTTGGCCATCCAAGCGATCAATCTTGCCATTATTTTGTTCGTCTCAAAGAGTAGAATCTATTTGTGGTGGTGGAAAGTGATGAAATTGTCAAAGGAGATAGATCGGGATCCAATTTTGAGTTTTTTTTTATTGTATTTTGATTTGAATTTTTGTGTGTTTTATGTGGATTAAAATGTGTTTTGAGGTTCTAAACAAGTTTATTTTACATTATTTCTATAATTTTAAGGTGTTTTTTTTTTACAAAAAAGAGCTAAAATTTGTTTTAAGAGACTAATAATTGAGTTACTTGACTTTTCGACTACTTTTCTAGTGAAATTGAACACGTCAAAAATTGTAGAGTTGCCTAAAAGTTAACAACATTATTTTTTTCGACCTAGACACGTAGTCTAGCTGTTCTAGGCCCAGGGGCTCACGCTAGGTCCACCAAGCCCAGAAGCGTGGGCTAGGTCCACCAGGCCTAGGAGTGCAAGCTTGGTCCTCTAAGCCAAAGAGCGTAGGTTTGATCCTTTGTTTTTTTTTTTCTTTTCACTAATTTTTTTCATTACAAATTTTAAAAAAATTATGAAACATCGAACGTTATTATTTGTGTTTTTCATACAACGTAGCAAAGATAAAAAATATACAATATCTTTTTATATTTTAAAATTAAAATATATTTCGGATTATATTACTCTTATTATTTAAATTTTTATTTTCTTTATGAAAATTATCATCCAATTATTTTTTTAAATAAAATTTATTAATCGATAAATATGATTAATTTTTTCTCTAAATTTGAATTTTAGAATAAAATTTTGAAGCTTTGTTGTTTTAAAAAAATTAAATTGATATAGTATATATCATCAATTTTTATAATTTTAAAATTATAGTTGCATATATATATATATATATATATATATATATATATATCCAAAAAGTTACAAGTGTATTTCAGATAATTTATCTTAGTCAAATAGGTATGGTCAACACATATAAAAAAATATTGAATCATTAATTTTATTAAAAATTAACTATACATCTTCACACATAACACCAACTATTTGCTATGAACTTTTTTTAACATTATCAAAGCAATTTATTTGAAATAAAATAATTAGAATAATTTCTATAGGAACCACTATTCAAATATGATTTTTTTATACTAATATTATTAATTATTTTGTAAATAAATATATATAAATCTAATGCATATACTTTAAAAAATTAATATTCTCATCAACATTAAATAAAAATAATTTTTTATTAGTTAATTTCTATACATGTCTATACATTAATTGTAACATTATTTTTTTAATACAATCTTATGAAAAATATATTTTTAATGTATTTTTTATTTCTCGATAAATATTCTAGTTTAAATTATTATAAATATTTATTTAAGAATTAATGAATAAAAAAATATTTTTTAAGTATAATTTTTTAAAAAACATAAAAATAATAATTAATAAATTAATAAAAAAATTTTAAAATGCTTTTATTTTACCCGATTCGCAACATAACGCTAATGAACAACTAGTTATGAACTCAAATTCGTTGAGTAAATTATAAATTAGTCTCTTGATTATCAAAAAATGAATTAATTATTCTTTTTTATGCAAAAACTAATTATTTAATTTATTAATTAGTCTTAAATAATTTAATTTAATATTATATTATTTTCAAAAATTTTATTTTTCATCAATTTTTCTATAATTTTTCTTATTTTTTATTTTTTAAATAAAAAATAAAAATAAAAATAAATTAAAAACAAAAAAGATTAATTTACAAAAGATTTTAAAATTATAAAATTAAATAATTAAATTTTAAAATAATAAAGAATAATTAATTCGTTGCTTGAAACTACTACTACTACTACTACTAATAATAATAAAATCTTAGGCTTCTTTAGCACCAATAACTTCGAACTATATGTTCAAATATAGTGACACAAATCAATGATGCCGTTCTAAATGGCCTGCAAAAGCCATCAACAATACCTTAACCCACTAACTAATTTATCTCATATACATATGCGAGTTTCAATATATATAATGCGAACATACTTAAAGGTGAGGTTAATTTTTTTGAAAATCTGATAACATATTAAATTAAATATTATTAAAAAGTTAAATCTTATAATATGTTGCTCTCACATACATATGAGGTAGGTTTTCAAACAAATAATAATGAAATAAAGGTCACCCATCAATTATTTTTTCTCTTCCATTTTCAGGTCGCAACAATGTACAAGCTTTGTGACCTCCGTCAATTATTTTTCTTGGATAAATATATAGAGATACATTACATAAAGTTCCTAGACCAAACTAGAGCTCCATCATGGACCAGCAGCCTGTTGTCCCTCATGTAGTGTTCCTTCCCTTCCTTACACTAGTTCATGTCAAACCAATGCCCATGCTAGCAGATCTTCTTAGCCATGCTGCTTTTCAAATCACTTTCGTCGATTCCATTCAGATCCAAGATCATCTTGAACCATCGACGAACCTAGCAACACAATGCATTGTCGCTTCTCTAAGATTATGTTTGTTTAGGAGAAAACAAGTTTCATAGAAAAATCAACTTTTGAGAAAGCTATTTTTCAGACAATTGTTTTCCAAAAACATATTTTCTCGCCATTTGTCTACTACATGAAAAAATTACTCGAAAAATGTGTTTCGAGTGTTTGTTTGATACAAAAAATTAAAATACAAAAACATATGTAATTGTTATATCAATAAGTTTTGAGAAAGCTTCAAAAAGACATATTCTTAATTTCACAATATAAGATACATTTAGAAAAATTTAATAAATTTTCATAAATACTAACTCTAAAATTTTAATTGAAAAATTAAAATATATTTTTTTAACTATCAAACCAATTCATCAAAATTACTTGGGACAAAATCAAGTCAATATTCACATTTAATAAATAAAAAAAGATTTTAAGTAATCCTAGCAAGGTTATTTTAGTAATTTAATTAAGAATTTTTTTTTTTTTAGAAATTGAACTGATAATTTAGTCCGAAAAATAGTTTTATAAATTATTACATACCATTTATAGATAATTATTCATTTAGTCTCAAAAGATTAATGTTGGAATAATTTGTAACTAATTATTCACTACAATTATCAATAAAATTTTACAATTGATTAAAATTATAAATGAATAGTGTTGGAAAAATAATGTATTTATTGATGAATTAATAAATTTTAATTTTTTTTACAAGAAGTTATAGTCTTGTAATAATCATTTATAATAATTTAAGTATAGTTTGGGTGATGTTTGAGATAATAGTAAAAAAAAAATTATTGAAATATTTATGATAAAAATAATATTAAGGTGTAAAAATGATTTTTAAGAATATTTAATGTATCTATAAATAAAAAAATCAATATTAGTAAAAATAAAAAAATAAATAATTAATAATCTTTAATAAGGAATAATTAAAAATTAATCTGATATATTTTAAATAAAAAAAAGATAGAGAAAAAATTGTTAAAATATATCGAGAGAGAGGTATGTAATGCGAGAGCGAGACAACTCATGAAAAGAAAAATGTTTTTCTCTTTTGAAACCGGGAAAACATTTTCTCAAAAATACTCTATCATTTTTCGTTGATTGAAAATCATTTTTCATTGACTTTTTTTCTAAATGCGAAGAAAATATCGAAAGATAGAAAAAACAAGTTCCCGAAACTTGTTTTCTTCCAAACAAACACAGACCTAAGTTTCTCTTCTTGTCCATCCCCGACGGTCTACCATCCGATCACCTATGCTCCGGCTTAACCATGATTCACTTTTTAAATCTCTCGCTAGAGAGATAAGGTAGAATTTCGTAAGTTGTTTGTTAACCTTACCCAAAAAAAGGGTGGTGGGAGCCTCCAAACAATACAAGAAAATAGCAAATTAGTGACGGACAAATCGGTTGCTACTACAAACAATTCTATTGCTAAAAGTGTTTAGTGATGGAAAAAAAACTATTGCTAAAATGCTTGTCACTAACTCTAGCGATAGACAAAAAGTATCCATCGCTAATTGGTCACCTAAAACATCATCTTCTCGCCACATAATGCATCGTAAGTCCGTCACCAAATTGGTTGCTAGTTAACGATTGATATTTATCACTAAAATCGAAGCAAATTTAATTGTTGTTATTCTCATCGCTAATTGTAAAAAATTCCAAAGCTAATCCGTCATTAATTTTATTAATATTATTATTATTTTTTTTTTTAATTTATGATATCCTTGATAGTAACTAACAATTAGAACAAACAATGTATTATAAAAATTTAATTTTTTAATTATAAATTTAATATTATAAATTAAGTTTAAATTAACGTTATCAAAAAAATATTTGTTAGTATGTAAGACAAAAATAAAAAATAAAAAAATGTCACTCATGATCATCTAATCCCCTATCCTCCTCCCGAAGCTTGATGGGAGGTACGATTGAGTCCTCGGCTAGTGGGTGGATCTATAGGCGGTTTGAACATTTATGCCAACATATACAACATTGAGGCAAATGACTCATACCGAGACTACAGCCCTCGTATGGTACTCTTCTACCGCAAGATAATGTTATGCGACTCGTCTTATTTGGACCGCATCCCCTTCATCGCCTCTTTGTACTACCTCCGAACCTCCTCATGAATATCGTTGGTATACCGTGATGACACGAAGGATGAGCTAGTGCCGATTGATTGGGACATATAATGGGATGCATGTGTGGCTACGCCATATAGTCTCTTGTTATTCTTCCCTCCTACAATCTCAAGGCATATGATGTTCTTATCCACTCGTGACTCGAGATTCCTTCCACTTGCAACTTCTCCACGAGTTTCTCGTACACGCTCCTACATAATCAAAATAATTATAATATTAAAAGATTAAATAATTCTTTAAATTATGCATGAATATATAAAATTTAAAAATTATAAACACTTACCATTGTGTGTTGGGTATGCATATTGATGAAAAAGACATATCGCAACTCGTGGTGGCTTCAAACGACTCCAAACGCATTGGCTCACGCCCCAATTTTGCCTCTCGAGAAAAATGAATCACAAACAATATGAGATACAAATTCAAATTAATTTCTTAAACATTTAATAATATAAGATATGATTTACCAAGTGATGGGCATGCTCTTCCGAAGAGATGGATCCTCTTGTATGCCTAGAAGGGCTAGTACCGTGGCCGTCGATCTCCGACATTCGATTCTACGATGCTTGTTTTGTATAATTCTTGCGATTAGGTGTGGCAAAATCTTGATGCCATGAGCCCCGCATCTCCTACCTAATAAAATTAGGTTGTTCACTCAATGAACCACGATATGAATTCGGAGTAGCACTTCCTTGCTAAACCCTTCCAAGCATCTCTAGCTTGCGCCTCGATGGTCGAATCCCGTAAAAATATTTTTGCATGAATAAAAAAAATTAATATTAACTAGTTCATTTAATGTTAAATTAATATTTTAAACATAATAAAAACAAATAAGTAATACCTTACCTTAAGCTCACTAAAATAGAACTATTTAGTGAGCTCCGAGATGGACTACCACATCGACCCATCGACGTCCAATCATTCCTTGAAAGTCATGGTTATCCTCATTGAATAATCTCTACTAGACGGAATTAAAGTATCGAATATCAAAAAAAAGAAAAAAGATGTATCCTTGAATGAAAGAATGCTTATGTTTTCTTTTGCAATTTCATATTGCTTGATCTTAAATCAAGATATGTTCATTTAAAAGTATTATTTGGCATTACATCTTCATCCATCAAGAAAATATAATGGTAAATTAAAAAATCCAAAAAATTGATCAAATTTCAAAGCATGATAGATATATGTTAGAGACGATTCTTCAATTCATGAAAGCCAATGATAGATTCTCCTAATAATATTTACGAGCGAGAAAGTAATGGAGCAATCCACCATTTTGTTAAAACCAATATATATATATATATATATCCTTTTCCGAATTGAATCCTTGAAGGAAAAGTTTTGCCTAAGAAAGTTTCATGAAGCCTAAAGGAAAGACTTAATAATTGGTGCCATAAATAATGATGAACGAGTATATCTTCAAGTCATCATCTTAAATAACATTCAAAATTTCTTCTTTTGAATGTTCTCTAAATTAATCATCGTCATTTAAAAGAGATTAGTGTCTAATGACATAAGCAAATCCATGTTTGAGATGAGAAAAGGTTATGTTTCATATATATCACATTTTTTTATCCTTTGTTGTCCTACTATGAGCCTAATGATTTCTTTCACGATAACCTAGACAAGGATCAACTCACACTTAGGGAAGAATGTATAATCCATGAATGGTCGATGAAACTCTAAACAAATTTTGTCAAAAGAATCCTATCAATGATCCTCAAAGAAAAAAAAAAGAATGTGAAAAAAGAGAGATAAAGGAAAAAAAATTGAAAGAAACCAAACTTTGCATAAAGACATGACATAGTCATGACTTTTCATTCCATAAAATTTATCATTTTGCATGTCAACACATCTAACTAGGTTGGACAAATATCCGTCGAAAAACCCGAGTTGTTTGATCTATTCAAGCAATTTTGTTTTTTGTTGTTTGGAAAGGATAAAAGTAGTTTTAAGGCACTTTCTAAATGCATCATCCTTTGCTAATCTAGCCTTTTATAGAAAAATTTCAAGTCTTTACTAAAGTTGGCATTATTTTTAGTCTTACTCGACACATTCACGACTATATTAAAAACATTATCGAATATTTTTTTCCCAATATGTGTGACAACTAAATTATGCCGAATGAGATTTGTACTTCGATAAGAAAAATCCTAGATAATACTCCATTTACTCCATCCAAACATTCGAGACATTCTCGCTGTTATGATCATTTATACCATCTTCTATCACCTTCAACAACCTCCATTATTCCATTAGATGTAACATCTCATTCCAAGATTGGATTGGAGGAGAGCCACATCTCATAATCTTTTTTACGATGAATGCTTTCTTGTTTCTTCTACTCGTGGAAAATTTTTTTGATGATTGTCAAACCATGATGTAATATCCATGACCCGAGTTGTTTGATCTATTCAAGCAATTTTGTTTTCTATTATTTGGAAACGGTAAAAGCAGTTTTAGGGTACTTCCTAAACGCATCATCCATTGCTAATTCTAGCTCGTTAAAGAAAATTTTCAAGTCTTTAGTAGAGTTTGCATTATCTTTAGTCTTACTTGACACATTCATGACTATGTTAAAAATAGTATTGAATATTTTTTTCTCAATATGTGTGACAACTAAATTATGACGAATAAGATTTATACTCCAAGTAAGAAAAATCCTAAAAAATACCTCATTTACTTCATCCAAGCATCCGAGAGATTCTGCTATTATGACCATTTATACCATCTTCTGTCACCTTCAACGACCCCCATTATTCCACTAGATCTAACATCTCATTCCCGAGATCGGATTGGAGGAGAGCCACATCTCACAATCTTTATTGTGATGAATGCTTTCTTTTTCTTCTATATGGATGATCACATGAAAAAAAAATTCAATGATTGTCAAACCATGATGTAATATC